TGTGTGTGTGTGTGTGTGTGTGTGTGTGTGTGTGTGTGTGTGTGTGTGTGTATATTTTCAGTCATCATATTGGTAGATCACATTAGTAGATCCTGCAGAATGTGGTCATTTTAATTTTACTTATGTCTTATAGTAATGTGATGGTAGTATGTTATGCTCTCTAATTTTTAACACCCTTGTCCTCAGTGCCCTCTTTAGGGCAGAATGTCTAACCCAGAATGCCTCAAAGGTAGCAAAGTAACATTATGAGTCAGATGTTCGGTCCTTGCCTCAATTCAATTAATACATTACCAAGAATAGGGTAGAAATATGCAGGAAAGATGATTAACTTCTCTGGACATTTATCTAGTTCTGAGCTTATAACATGTGAAGACATGGGATAGATGATTTCTAAACCCTGCTTTAACTCAATAAAGCATTTTACTTTCCTGATGTAGGTACAACTGGATGCACTCTTGTAGTTCATTTGGGAACCCTAAGAAAATACACCATCTTCTATGTGGTCTATGATCAACAGAAGTGTATTTCTCACAGTTCTGGATGTAGGAAACACAGGCATGGAGACACCAGCAAAGTCGCAGTCTCATGAGGACCCAGTTTCTCCATTTCAAGTCTTTGCACTCCAGCCTTGTTCAGCAGAGAGAGAGAGAGAACTCAGACTCTGACTGAGCACTTTTTCATGAGAAGACGAAAATGCCCCACAGTCACCTCACAAAGTCCCCGTTTCTTTATTCTATCATGCTGGGGTTGATGGTCTCAACATTTGAACTTTGAGGAGACAAACCTGTTTTTTTGTGTGTTCTCATGTATATATTTGTTTGGGCATATAATTACATTATGTGTTTTGTCATTAAAAAAATATCTGTATAGCCATGGCTGTTGTTTGAATATTGTTTGTCTATTCTTGCTGGGGTCTAATTTCTATGGTGAGGTATTTAGAAGACGAAGATTTATTTATTTTGGCTTAGTTTTAGGAATGGAGTCTCTGGGAGGTGATTAAAATTAATTAATCATCAGTGTAGAGGCGAATCATTGACTCCAGGAAGCCTCATATAAAACAGGAGAGAGACAGTGCACACATAGAAACTCATACACATATGCTGTGGGATGTTCTGCATGGCAAATGTGTTGCTGGTTAGTCAATAAATAAAACACTGATTGGCCATTGGCTAGGCAGGAAGTGTAGGCGGGACAAGGAGGAGAATAAAGCTGGGAAGTGCAAGGCTGAGTCAGAGAGACACTGCCAGCTGCCATGATGACAAGCAGCATTTGAAGATGCCGGTAATCCACAAGCCATGTGGCAAGGTATAGATTAATGGAAATGGATTAATTTAAGCTGTAAGAACAGTTAGCAAGAAGCCTGCCACGGCCATACAGTTTGTAAGCAATATAAGTCTCTGTGTTTACTTGGTTGGGTCTGAGTGGCTGTGGGACTGGCAGGTGAGAGAGATTTGTCCTGACTGTGGGCCAGGCAGGAAAACTTTAGCTACACACATAATCACACAGTGTCCATACACACACTTCTGTGGATACATGCACACAGGTACACATATAATCTCTATGCTATTCTTTGTCATGCGATGCTCTGTGCCACTTTCAGACACTGCCATTCATCACTGAAACAGGCATAAATTCTGCACATCCATTACTCTAAACTCCAAATTCACCTCTTTATGACAGATGCAATCTATACATATTGTGTTATTAGCAACAGACAACAGAATAATATACTACGAACAAAAACAACTACAGTCATCACCATCGTTCACACTGCAATTCCAGATTTGCTGCCAAACTCATGTTACATAAAGCCATATTAAGTGAGGAACTTGAAACTTCTTCAATGAATCACCTTGACAGATATATAGGAATATCCCTGGAATTATTCTAAACCACTCAATTTCAAATAGAAGCCCACTATGCATTTTCTTATAGTTTCTGCACCTTATCTAGTAGAAATTGGTTTCAATAATACATGCACTACACACACAGTTCATTTCGTGACTTCCTCCTTCTGTGCACAAACGCAATCCTGAACAATAGCAAATAAAGGAAAGCAAAGCATTGTGATAGAAATCTTTAGGAATATTTAATCTTCTAATGATGTTATAGTAAAATGCAACCTACAGGGTCATTTACAAGTGAGGAATTATTTTTGAACAGTTCTAGAATCTGCAAAGTCCAAGAGTGACATACCAGCATATTCAGTACATGGTAATAAGCAGGTGATCGGTCAAAACACCACACTTGGGCCTCACACATTGGGAGAAGGGGTAGAACCACTTTCTGAGGATACTGTCCATGATGCCCAAGCTCATCAATGAGTGTTTGTCTTTGAAATCTAATCCTTTGCAAGGGTCCCACTTCCTAAAGGCTTCATATTGGTTATTAGAATTTTTAACAGATGGAATTTGAAGGATTTATAGAAATCATCCCCCCTTTCACTTGACAAACTGACCATATTTTGTGCAGCAACAGAGAACATTCAGTAAGACAAACAAGTAAACCCAGATCACACACCAAGACTTTAGCAAAAACTTATTGTGAATGAATGTAATAATTGCAGAAACCATTATTATAACACCCCTCATTCCAAGACAAGTAAACATTTGCTCCTATGGAAGAACTTAACGGGTTGGGTGGACCTTCCGTCAATCTTGAAGGAGCATCCTGTATCCTATGAACTGACTGTTAATTGATACTCACTAAATGGCTTTAATATCTCATATAGTCACAGGCACTGAAATGCTATATTTTCGCTCAACTATACTTAGGTAGGTTCATAGCATGACATAACATACCATGTCTTATATGCATGCAGATTTATAGATACATAGAATTCAATAATACATTTCAGAGGTCGAAGGAACTTTAGGTGTTAGCTGAAATGTCCTGCTATCCCACATATTGTCAGTCTTTCCAATAGATTATTTTCCCCACAAAAATACCAAAGTGTAAACTATGAGGTTTTCATTTTGATAACTGTAGCATCCCATGTACCTAATACCTTTTTTGTATAATTATTACAAGTCCTTTAATTATACAGCTAAATGTGTTTCCCTCATAAAATAAAGTTATTGCCTCATCTTGCACTTGAGTAAAATAAAACCTTGAATCATAGTAGATGTTTTAAATTTAGCAATATATTTTTCATTTATCTGTATTAAATTTTATAGCACAGATAAAAATTGCAGACTTTTCATGATATTTAAGAGATCCCATAGTAGTTTGCCATTCCATATTTTTGACAGTAAATTAGATAGGGGATCTCAGTAAGTCATGATTCTAAATTGAAAAGAATATTTTAAAATTTTCTCACACTGGGGGTCAGGTTAGATGGCTGAGCATCTGAAAATGTGTTTGCTACACAAGTCTGATGATATGTTTGGACTCTGGAAGGAAGGAACCAACTCCACAATGTTGTCCTCTGACTGCCACGTATGTATGACAGGACACCCCCACCACTCATGCACACATATCATACAAGCCTTAGCAATATGGAAAACATAAAACCATCACACAAAATCATGGTTAATTCTAGCCCATCAATGTGAATATTATCTGAACATCTCTTGTTGTAGTGAGAATACTTATTATTCATTTCTTAGCATTTCACAAGAGAAAAAAATATATCATCATTGACTAGGTGCAACAGTTCTATAATGCACATATACTTCAAAATATCATGTTACATATGGCAAATGAATAACACGTTATGTAAACAAAATAAAGTAAACAGAATGCTGAGGCCAAAATATCTAAGATGATAGATCTCATATCAACTGTATTCCACAAAACATATAAACTGTAATTAACACTTTTAAAATTCAGACTCTAGAAGACACTTATCAAAGGCACACTGCACTGAATGTGGTTGAGCAATGTAACACGAGTCACCAAAAACTACACTAAGAATTTTTTCATATTCTGGTCTAGAAAATATGCGACTATTTTTCAAATACTATGATGAAATAAGGATCCAAGACCTCCAGCATTTTAACCAACCACTGAGATGAAGACAGAGACTTCATCGTGTATAAACAGCCCACAGGTGGGCAGGATAGCGAACTCATTAACTCAGAGAATGGCCCAGCTGCATAATTGGAAAGGAATTTAAAGACAAAAGTATTTGGGTGTTTTGTAAAATAATTGTCCAAAACTTTCAACAACTCCAAACTAAAAATCTTGGCACCCTGTGCTGTTTACAACAAGAGATGTCTTAGAAGGCTCTGGACTCCTTTTCTCTCTTTTCCATTTAAGCAAAATGCATAGCTTCAAAATATAAAACTCTTTCTTACCCTTTAAAGCTGAATTTCTTGGGATTTTATTTCATTTGCTTATATTTGTGAACCACGAAATAGCCTAAGCTCCCTGAGAATGTCCTAATGTATCTGTTTATACAGCTTATTATTTATTAAACTGTAATTTTCAAAATTAAAAATTGAAAAACAAACATGAACTTTTCAGTAACTTTAAAGATCATTAAGTCACTTAAGCATCTTCTGAATTTTTTCCCCAATTCTCTGCCTTCCCAAGCAGTTCTCTCTCCCCTTACTTTAATTGTGACTCTGCAGTTGCAAGCCTGTCCAGATAAAAAGAGTCTGCAACGGATGTGTACCAAAGCTAACGTCTCAAACATTTTATGAAGTTTCGAAAAACAATATTTAAACTCAAGCTTCATCAGAAACTGCAGCATCACCCGAATATACTTGGGAAGAGCTAAACAAACTGAAGGCCAACAAAATCCATCATTTCCCAGTGGAAGAGAACGCACTCGCTTAAGCGAGGTTATGATGCACATACGGAAATAAGTACTCAGAATGTGATATGCAACTCTCACTGCATCGGAATGAGGGAAAAGGAGCCTCACTGGTTTTAACCACTTATTAGGGAACACCCTGCTGTGCCCAAGCTGCATGAAGAAAACCCCATTAGCAGCTGAGGAGCCTGGTAGGCTGGGACACTTCTGAAGGACAAATAGTCAAGTAAGGGAAGCTTACGTTCTTGAAAGGATGTGAAGAGCATCTGAAACCTGCTGTTGCGACTGCCCTCGTCTGCCCACATGCGGATCACCCCCAGGCCCGTGCGCAGCATCACGTCATTAGCCACCGTGCTGCAGAACTTGGCCTTCAAGTCCTCCACCGAGCTGCTCCCGTCATACACCGCCACGAAGTTCCTCTTGCATTCATTTGAATTCTGCATCTCATAGTCCAAGAAACGTAAGTAAATCTGTAAAACAAAGATAAAACAATCTGTGCACTTCAAAAATGTAGAGCAATGCTTGGACCTCCTCTTTTCTTTTCAGTCTCACAAGACAGCCTTGATTGCAATCAGCCCCATTATTTTCCCTTGTGGTCCACAGGCAGATAAACTAGTGCAAAGCAAATTATCTTTAATATTTCTTTACAAGTGTTATTATGCTGTTAAAAAAAAAAAAACTTAGCTGCGCCATTTCCTTTAGCTAAGTATTTTTTGCCCAGATGATTCTGACATCATTCTGTGATGTATCTGAAATCAGCTATTAGCTTTCAAAACTTACATGCTATTTAGCTTTGGATATGGAAGTACTTTAAATATTTCTTTATGCATTCTTGTTCAAGTGCCCTTGTGTTTTGTTTAATGTATACAAAGAACAATTTACATTAACACTAAAGGAAAACAAAACATATTGAAAGACAGCTTTTGATTTTAATCTAAACAATTACTCTTATTCAGCTTTGCAGTGGAGCGTATCAAAATATTTTAAAAGGCCAATCTAGCTATTTTCATCATACTTAAAATCAGGCCACTTAGCTCAATCTCTGCAAATAAAAGTTAAATTAGCATTTAGCACTTAGTGAGTACAATGTACCATGACACCAATTCATATGTCATCATTAAACGCTCCCAACAATTTTGTGACTAACATGTCGGTGTCCTCAGATGTGACAACTCAGGCTCACAGAATAGAAACTACAAGTCAGATGTGAGACGTCTGACTCCACAGTCTACACTCCTTCCTCAAGGACACACTGTGTCTAACACACTGGTTCTTGGTAAGGAAAAGTTATCTAACTCTCTTCCAATGTGTATTCAGAATCACAAGTGATTGATTCCAGCAGGATCAGAACAAAGAATGTGTTTGTTCATTCATCCATCCTTTCAGCAACATCCATAGCCTCGATGTTCAGTTGGTCACAGTCACAGTTAAAGGCATTGTGCAAATGTGTAAACAAGGAACGAAGCACTGAAAACATGTGTTCAAATCAAGACACCTATATAGAATGTAAAACTATAGGAATTCTATACAATAAATGTAAATGAAACAAATTAGTGAAGGTGCAATAAGAACAGTATCTGAATGAAACTTGCCTCCTTTGAACACATTGATTGCTTGTTTATATTTTATTTTGTAATCATGCATATCTATAGGCTATTTTGTTTAAATTAGATTACTTCACCTAGCATGCATACAAACTAAAGGTATACATTTATTTTAAGTTCACTTTCATCTTTCTATATTCATTTTTTTGTTGTTATTTCAAAAACTATGAAATTTATGGGACAACTTTTCCCCCAGATCTGGAAATGTCTATCCTAAGTTTAAAATTTCATTATTTTAGTTAATACAAAAATATTATTGCCCTTGCATGTTATTATAAAATAGACATTGGGCCGGGCGGTGGTGGCGCACGCCTTTAATCCCAGCACTCGGGAGGCAGAGCCAGGCGGATCTCTGTGAGTTCGAGGCCAGCCTGGTCTCCAAAGCGAGTACCAGGAAAGGCGCAAAGCTACACAGAGAAACCCTGTCTCGAAAAACCAAAAAAAAAAAAAAAATAGACATTGGACCCTGTAGTTTCTCTTAAAAATCAGTTGTATGCCTTGTCTCCTGAAACAAGATTTTTCAACAATCTCCTAAACACTCCGTGTGTCTGTCAGGTTCAGTCTCTGCCATGTGTTTCCAGTCTCAACCCAGCCAAACATAACACTTTTACATACAAAGTCAATGATCCCATGCCTCCAGCCCAAATCCTCACCTGAGGCATAGTACAACCATTGAGAAACCTTGCTCAGGCAAAGTCTTCCCTCTCCTTCCAACAGTGTGTTTCTTTTCCAACACCTCAAGCTTTGTGCTCCAGGGGCAAACTTTAACTTGAAGGAATTGGTCCCTACTGTTTGTAGCAACTTCTTCCCAGTGTATCAAGGTTAAGCTCAGTTGCTATATTCCCAGGAAACAACCCCCTACTAGGCTGACTCCCTTATTCCATAAGTCTTTACCTTTACACCCTCCAGACTCTATTAGAACTGAACATATTTCACGCTACAGTTCCTGTGACACTTCCTTTCTACGCAACTAACCAGAACTCTCATTTTCTTTACTAATTTCATTTGTTCAGCATTCATCATGTATTTATTGGCTGTCCACAAACCCAACATTGTTTTAAGTGTTATAAATAATAAATAAGCACACGTTACCTTCAATAGTAAGAGATGTTTAAAATAACTCTCAAAATAAACTATGACATAGATCTAAAGAATATGAAGTATAAGAAAATATATTGTAGACCTGTGTGAGCTGGAAATGAACTGTGATAGCTCGCACCAGATCACCCTGACATAACTTTGAGGAGGAAGAACAGACATAGAGAGATATGAGGAGATAAATTGAACAACTATGGACAATTGGAGTTTTACTCTGATTTTCATACAACAAAGCTTTCATATGTAGGATTTCTGTAACTTCCCAGCCACTCTGGATGAATTTTAAGTTAGCTGACTCATCAACACCACACACAGCATATAGTCTAAGGAAGTACCCTCTGTCACCATGTCCAGGTCATTGCTTTATGTTATTTGACAAAAATACTAACTACTACTCCCATCATCCATGGGGAGTTTATTCTTTCCAGCATAATAAAATTCCTGAAGTTATCCATTGTATCCCAGAAATGCCCAGATTAAGAAAGCCTGATTTTGTTTTGTTTTTGTTTTGGGGAGGCATAACTTTTTTTAGTACTTGGGTATTGAAGATCCTGCTAGCCAAAAGAGGGAAGTCTTTCCCTAAAAGCTTGGTAACTATTTTGATTTTTTTTTCTGCAGATATATTGTATTTAAGTGTTCAGGGAAAAAATCTGGGAGATGTTCTTAATTCCTTCTTCTTCCCTGTTCTCCAAGTCCAGTCACTCTGTTTTTGCCAAACATCACCTCTGACTATGTGGGTAGGGAGGTTTGGTGGGGACATAATTTGTATAGAATGTGACTAGTTAGAAAGCTACACCAAAATAAACACAGTGATGGTCTGAATTAATCCTAATAAGGATAACTGAAATATGTGGGGACAGAGGTGAGCTGAAAACTTCTTATGTAGACAAATCAGATACAGGGATCTTTTGAAAACTGTACTTCCATGTTAGGTTTGAAACCAGGTGGATTGTGCTGTTATCTCACTGAAGAGAAGAAAGAAAAGATTGGATCCTCAAGAAAAGAATATGGTAGGCTCAGTTTGGGGTATCAACATGAGCACAGTGGCCCTACCCAGTGTTTTAACAGAACCAATAACACCATGACATGTTATTGTTTCTCTAAATGATCATGTCAAACTGCCTTTTAAGTATTCATATCTGTAGAATTGTTGGGCTCCCACCCTTGCTCAAAGACATTTCTTCTTATGGATAATGGACAACACAGTAACTTATTTCTGCTCAAAGTGCTGAATGTCCCTGCCAGTGCTCAGTCGTTGATAAGACAATTGCAGAAAGGGGGCAGAAAGAGTGTCTGAGCTTAGGGTGGGGGTGAGTGACCTGAAATGCTGTTTTCTGCACATGGCATGGCTCTTGTACACATGAACTCGCTGCAGCAATGATTATCGATGTAAGTTCTATGCAAGATCAAGTTAATGAAGAAAATTTGGTGGGGAGGTGGGAAGGAGGTGGGGCTCTCAAGAGTCAGCCCTGGCTGAGGAGCTATTGGCAGCTGATAGCCTTTGGGGACAGGAACAGTTAATTCTTCTTTAGGCACATGGCCACTGAAACACCTCAGTGGATGATCCAATGCCCATTCACATGGATGGAGAACTAATTGGACTCACAAGTTTCAAATAAATAAATAAATACAAGGAGAGCATAAAGTTGGAAGGATGTGGTGGGGGGTGTCTTGGGGAATGTTAGAGCGAGCAATTGAGGCGTGGCTATGATCGAGTTACATCTATACCAGTATGAAATTTTCAAATAATAAATAAAATTAATGAAAAGAACATAAGTCTGAAAAATGTTAAATCTAAATTTTTGACATATGCAATGCTGTGTCTTTCACATATTCACATGAAATGCTCTTTAAAAGATGGCATTTTTCACATGATCTTCATTAGAAAGCTGGAGAAGGGACTAAAACCATAACTTGCTTAAGAAAAATAATCAGATGAATGTGAGCACCTGGAATAAGAATTTTAAGCTCTGTTTTTTAGATTCTTTTCATCATGTGGCTTTGATGTACTCTGAATAACAGTCAGCAACCTGAAAGCTCTATAAAAAATTGATTGAAAATCTGCCAATTTTTGCAAGGTAACAAAAATGTTAGGTGCAATAAAAAGTCAGAATACACATATATTCTAAACTACTCAGCAATAAGCCCAGCATAGTTTATCACTCTCAAAAGAACATACACATTCAACAGAGAAACACACAGTTTTACCAGCAAGGGAAACATCCACCAGGACAGGTAGTACATCACAGTCCATTTTTTTAAAAAAAATACAACACAAAATGATCATGGATATCAGTAGTATAACGAAGTTTACCAACAACAGCAACAACATATATACCCACAGAAAGAAAAGTAGTGAAAGAAAATGATTAACCAAATCAAGAGGGAATAAAAACAGAAAGCGGTTTTTCACTTGGCACTTTCAAATCCAGATATTTCAGTGGCATGATAAGCCTGAGCACTTTTCTGCAAGCGGAAACACAGACCTGAATAGCAATTCATTGTTATTAGAAAGGAGTCTATGTCATGTATTGGCAATCACTCTTGGCTTCAATTAATACTTTTTTACAGTGTTTGACAACAGATTAGTGCAACAGCAGCAGATTACTGCAAGAACTGTTGAAGACAAAGAAAATTGAGATTTAGAAAAGTTGAGTCACACTTTTAAAGTGAAACAGGAGCTTTAGCATTGCACTTTGGATCCACCTGACTCCAAAGCCACTTAAGACCCTCATTGCATCCTACACAGTCTTACGAAAACCTTTTAC